CTCTATAGGTTCTTCCATGAAGTTAAGGCTCTCGTTGATCTCGATCTCATTGAGTGGGATTCCAAGAGTCTTGTCAGACAGACACTTTTTCAAGTTCAAGACATGGAAAGTAGAATGTACGTTATCGAGTTTGCAGGGTAGATTGAGTTTGTAAGCTACAGGGCTGATTCTAGCGAGAATCTCGAAAGGCCCTACAATTGGATAGACTAAATGAGAGAAATAACACTTGGAGATTATTAATATATTATAAGTTCTAATATATTAATAATATTATTTGATTAGTTTGATCAATAATTAATTTAGAATTAATGAAGTGATCAAAAGAGAACTAATTAAATATATGGGTTGATTATGTAAATCATCCATATCTTGTATAGTGGGCTAAGAGGCTCCATGGATTATCAAGTTGGGTTCTACCCATAGGATGCTCCATGGGAGTTACTGTTGGATTAATGTCTAAGTCCATAACTATAATTGGTAAGACTTGACCCGACCCGACATGGTCCATTTGGGTTGCATACCATCATGCACTTGGATAGACAATAATGAGAGAAATAAGACACTTATGGTTATTAATATATTATAAGTTCTAGTATATTAATAATAAGAATAATAAGATTATTTAATTAGTATTGATCACGAATTAATCTAGGATTAATTAAGTGATCAAAAGAAGACTAATTAAATATATGGGTTGATTGTGTAAATCATCCATACTTATATAGTGGGCTAATGCTCCATGGATAATCAAGTTGGGCTAAAACCCATAGGATGGTCCATGGATGCTCCATGGTGTATTTGAACCCATGGATCCAAGGAAATGGAAAGCCATGACAATTAAGGATTTACCCTAATTGTAACACTATATAATGATATTATTCTTGACAAAAATCGGCCACTAGAGAGAGTAACAAAAGGGCTAGCCGATTTCATGAAGTGTAGGACTCTCTCAAGTTATTCTAAGAGTTTTGATGATTGTGATTCCATTTGAGGCTTCCACACTATTGGGGCTAGGCACTCAAGCTTCATGAAGACTTTCTACATCAAAGAGGTATGTATTCTATCTTTTTATATTCATTGTTTTGTATGCTAGATTAGGATAATACCTTGGATATTCTTATTTGCATGTATAATAGAGAAAACATAGATCCAAGGTATTTAGGGTTGCATGTACACTTAGGAGTGTTAGAATGCTCAAAACCCAACAGTTACAAACCCATGGGTCATGGAAATGAAGAGTCATGACACATTAGGGTTTACATGGTGTAACCCTAGATGTGTCAACACTATATAAGGATCTCATTCTCCACCAAAATCGGGTACACTAAGAAAACAAGAGGGCTTGGCCGATTTCAAGAAGTGTACATTCTCTCAAAAGTCTTTCCAAGAGCATTTGGTGTTGTGTGAAGCATTTGAGGCATCACACTTGGGGTGCTAGGCTCATAAGGTTTCAAGGAACATAAGCAACAACAAGGTAAGTTATTCTATCTATCATTCAAGTTAAAATTGTTCCCCATGTTTGCTAGTTAGTAATATAGCCTTGGAATTCAACTTTGCATGATAATTAGACAAACATAGATCCAAGGTTATTAGGGTTGCATGTACACTTAGGAAGTGTTAGAATGCTCATAACCCATCAGACGCACCTTTGGACTTCGATCCAGCTTATCCACCAGTGGACAAATGGACAAAAGATCATCCGAAGGAACAAATAATTGGTAATCCACAAGAGGAAGTTCTAAGAAGGACTCAAATTCGTGCAATGAATGAGGTATTAAATACTCATCAAGAGTTTTGCATGTTTAATGTTTTTATTTCTAAAATTGAACCAAAGACAATAAAGATTGCAATGGAACATTCAAATTGGGTTGTTGCAATGCAATCTAAATTGTCTGAATTTGAAAGAAATAAGGTTTGGAGATTAATTCCCAAGCCAAATGATGTTTCGATTATCGGGTTAAAATGGACTTTCAAAAATAAAACTGACAAATATGGAAATATCATTCAAAATAAAGCCAGACTTATTGTTAAGGGATACTCTCAACAAGAAGGAATTGATTATAAATAAACTTTTGCCCCTGTCGCAAGACTCGAGGCAGTTCGTATATTTTTGGCTTATGCAGCTCACAAAGACTTTGATGTTTATCAAATGGATGTGAAGTGTTCATTTTTGAATGGAGAACTCAAAGAAAATGTCTATGTGGAACAACCTCCAGGTTTTGTTAACGAAGAACATCCTGATTATGTTTATATCTTAGATAAGACAGTTTATGGTTTGAAACAAGCACCACGAGCCTAGTATGCAACTCTTACTTCATTTTTAAAAGAATATAAATTTAAACAAGGATCAGTTGACCCCACATTATTTCGTAAGAAAGTTGGGAATCATCTTATGCTTGTTCAAATTTATGTTGATGATATTATCTTTGGCTCAACTGACCCTGCTTTATCTAAAGAGTTTGAAGACTTGAAGAAATGTAAGTTCGAAATGAGCATGATGGGAAAAATTAATATTTTTCTTGGTTTAAACATTTGTCAAAGCAAAGAAGGAATCTTCATTAATCAAGAAAAATATACAAAGAATCAGCAAGAGCAGTTTGGATTAACAAATAGCACAATATTACGAGTTCCAATGACACCTGGGATCAAACTAACTCCTTCGTTAGATAAACCTGTAGTTGATCTTACTTTATACAGAAGCATGATTGGATCTTTACTGTATTTAACTGCTAGTAGACCTGATATCATGTTTTTTGTATGTAATTGTGCTAGGTATCAATAAAATCCACGAGAACCACATCTCACTACTGTAAAGAATATCTTTCGTTATCTCAACGGAACTCTTTCGCTAGGATTGTGGTATCCTTCGAATACAGGGTTCTTTGTTCAAGCATTTCCAGATGCAGATTTGGGAGGTTGTAACCCTGATAGGAAAAACACAAGTGGAGGATGTCAATTACTCGATGGTAAGTTGGTGAGCTAGCAAATAAAAAAGCAGACATGTGTTTCAATCTCAACAGCTGAAGCTGAATATGTTGGTGATGCTGCATGCACTTCACATATAATATGGATTCAAAGTCAATTACGTGATTATATAATTAATATGAAAAATATTCCTTTATATTGTGATTCACAAAGTCCAATAAGAATTTGTCATAATCCTGTGTAGCATTCAAAGACTAAACATATAGCTCTTCGTTATCACTTCATCAAAGATCATGTAGAGGAAGGAAATATTGAAGTACATTTCGTGAAAACAACTGATCAATTGGCTGATATTTTCACAAAAGCTTTGGATGAAAAGTCGTTTGTACGAATTTTGGAAGGACTGTGAATGATTGATGGAAATTCAATTTCATGCTAAAAAGACAAACAGTGATTACAAGAAAAAGACAAAGAAAAATCATTCAGTATTCAGAGGTTACTGTTCACAGTCAACTCTTCGAATGCTTCGAATTCATATGATTGGTATTTTTATTAGCTTGGTAAAACTTCGAATATTTGCAACGACTACTTTTAATTGTTTTTTTTAAAATCAAAAACATCAAAAAGATTTTCTTATTATTTTGTTCTTAATTTTTGAAAAATCAAAAACAACAAAAAGATTTTGTTTCTTCTTTCTTTTTAAATATTGTGTTGCAGATATTCATGAAGATACAAAGAGGTTAAGGATTACAGTTCTAGTGTGAGGTATATTTATCATTCCATTCTTTGAATTTCAAATTTTTTTACTAGTTAAGATGTCCCTAGAAGCATGTTGTGTGCATTAGACTTATACAAAGTATATAAAGTATATAACGATTTCAAAGTACCTTTCATTGCTAAGTCGTTTTATACATTCTAAAAACTTATGATTTTGATTTGTCAAACATTGTGAAAAAGGATAAACTTTGCATGGAAAACTATCACTTTAATACAGGCTTAATTGAGAATCCATGAGACGTGTATATCTTCAAACGTTACTTTTCTTTATTAGAAAGTAATGCTGCAAGTCCTATCTATAACCAGAGTCTCCCGTTCGGAGAATGTGTTAGATGTGTATAGATCTATACGGGAAGTCATGATCCCGTGCCCTGACTGTTAGCTACAGTCCATCTTTTGGGGTGACAGTTGTCATAACACTGCGACGCCTGAAGAACGTCGTTACAGGCATATTATGTTTAGTATGGTTATAAAACTCATCGGATATACAATTATTATGGTATTATGCTTTTATGAACGAGTAGCTATTAAAACTATTCTTCATCTAACAAATGCGATCTTTGTATAGTTTTATTATATAAAACTATGACACAACTTTTGAGAACGTCGGTTTCTGGCGATTTTCGGTCTTAGAGACTGCCATTTATGTTAGGAAAATAAGGGTTTGTCCTGCATACAAACCAAACAACTAATAGGAAAATAAGGGATTTTCCTAGTGCAATTATTTACAACTTATAACACGAACATTTATATGCATTTCATGCTTTTATAAGAAAATAAGGGTTTTTCTTGGAAAACACAACAACTCGTATTTCAACCATTAGGGAAAATATGGGATTTTCTGGATCAAATACATTCACTTTCAACACAACAAATCACAACTCTTTACATTTGAAATGCTACGTTTTCTGGAAAATATACACCCATTTTGGAATGGCATCCAATTTTTCTAAACTACTTATGAACTCACCAACTTAATTGTTGACACTTTTTCTTTGAAATAACTTGTATTCTCAGGGAACCGCTAAGCAGGTTTGGGAATCAACTTTTGGGATTAACGCGCTGGCGTTAATTACTTCTTTTGAATGATGTTTATGTATTTATCTTTTGAACATGTAATGTATACAACTATGTAAACATCTTGGGAACTTTAATATATATGGTGGTGTGTACTTTCCTTTCTATGAACTGTTATGATACTGAATATGACGTCCTCCGCCCCCGAACGTTTCTGCCGTTCTGGTTTGGGGGTGTGACATCCACCTACCACCACTTCACCAATAAAATATTCTTCTTTCATGGAAACTGAACATGAGTCCGAAGGTTTTGGCGGAACCTTTGAAAATCTAGAGTTTTATGAAGAAGAGACTAACTTCGTAGATCACATACTCATGATAATGAAACAGTTCAAGATTTTGAATACAAAACTCAATTCAATTCTTCAGTCTCAGGCTGATCTTAGGGTTGGTAATTCAGTAACCAGTATCAAAGTGGATGGTATGCTAAAGATGGTTGAAGGGAGGCTTTCCTCGAAAGTGTCCAGAATGATCAAGGATTCTGAGTCTCATCTTCTGGAGAAAATTGATCTTTGTGATCAGAATAATGACATGAGGGTTAATGCTCAGAAATCTACATTTGAGGGTGATCTGAAGGAGTTAAAGTCGGTCGCAAAGGAGAGATATATTTTGTTTATTCAAGATGTGAAGAAACTTAAAGAGGATGTGAACTATAAACTACAAGAAGTTCGAGGATATGGAGAAAGAGATTGCAAATGTACGTACTGAATTTTCATCTCTCAATCAAAAGGTGGATATCATATGTGATGCAGTTACCAAATTTGTGAAGTTGTACAAAATTATGAGTCCTCAAATTGCTCAAGTTTCTACATCAGAGAACAAGAATTTCATGGAGGTTTTTACTTTCTTAAAGGAGCTTACTACTTTATCTTCTGCACCTGCTCCGTCTTCTCTGCACTCCTCTAAAGATTTTATCAAGAAATTTTCCTAATTTGAAGCCTTACTTCTTCAACAGCTGGCTCCTCTTTCAAGAACATCTAGCCTTCTTCCCACCATGGATGCACCACCTGCTAGCACAAGGGTGCAAGTGGGAGAAAAGAAAACTGAAGGTTCGAAGGCTAGTGGTGAAGATGAGAAGGTAGTGGGAAAGGTGTTTCCTTCCAAAATCCCAACATCAAAACCAATTATAGCAACTACTGGTCCTATCTCTTCAACAATAGTTACAACTGTGCCAATCACAAGACATATTTCGAAAGGAATTGTGATTGTTAAATATATTGAGACTGGTAGAAGTGAAACGAAAGCAAGAGAAGTGATAGAAGAATCTGTTTCGAAGGCAAGGGGAAAGTCTATACTAATTGAAAAATCCAAAGAAGAGAAAAAGGCAGGGGCTGAGGCAGAAGTGGAAAAGATGAGGATGATTCAAAGCATCGTGACACAAAGGGCTAGTGATCCTCCTGGCATGAACAAGGGTGATGCATCAAAGAACTACAATTACGAAACAATTGAAGCCAAGGTTGCATTTAATCACATGTATTTGTTTGAGAAAAAGCCTAAACACAGTTATATTGTCACGAATACAGATGCAAGCCAATTGGACTTGTCAGTTAACGAAATGATCTTCATCATGCCTCAATTTAAAGCTGAAAGTAAATTCAAGGAGAAGGATGAAGGTGCTCAACTGAAGATAAGATTTCATGCAATTCTTTCCAAACCTGCAGAAGAAGTATGGTCCTTGAAAAAGATTAAAAAGGTCATAAGTATAAAGAAGGATGTGATTTTCGAAAACTATGACACCCCGTAATTTATTCCGTCGCCTTAACCCGGTTCCGTTAATAAAGTCGTTTCGTTCCAAAAGTTTCCGTCAACTTTGTTTTAATTTAATTTATTTGCGTCTTCCATTTAAATCTCATAAGTTTTGGGATATATTTTAATTCATTAAAATATTTTCTATTTTCATTTAGAAAATATTTAGTTTCGTCTAAATCGTAATTACGGTAAATTAATCAGGTGCAACCAAAAAGCATCGTCTAACGGCAGTATCGGGTAGAATTCCACCGGGCCACAAACTCAACCCCTATATAAGGGATTGATTGACATCATTTTGAGGCTTTTTCCCTCTCTCTAAAAACTTTCTCTCACTACACTCTCTCTCTAGAACTTGAATTGGCTCAAAAACCCCATTTCAAGCATCATTTGGTAAGAAATCCATCCTAAACTTGTTATCTAACTTAATTGGTTTGCAAATTCATGTTGGAATCACCCAAAACACATATCAACATGTGTTTATGGTCTAGGAACCCTCCTTAGGCCGTGAACACCTCATATGAGGGTTTTGAAGCCTGAAAACCCCTCCAAAACACTTCTAGGGCCTAGATTCGACCTAGAAACTTACATGCATGGAATAAGGACCCAAAAATCATGACATTTGATGTATGAACATGAGTTTACGGCCCAAGAACCTTCTTGGACCATAAACCCCCATGCATGAACCATAAACACCTCTTAAGGTGTTAAAAATGCCTTTACACCACCACAAGCTTTCAAACGTGTCTAGGACCTTCTACTTCATCATTTGAAGCACCAAATCATACAAGAAGGGACCAAACATGAGTTTACGGTTCAAGAACATGCTTGTACCATAAACCTTCAATCTTAGACCTTAAACACCATTTTGGGTGTTAGTTTGCCCCTAAACACCTTCAATGAACTTCCATGAGTGCATATAACCGTATAACCCTTCAAGAAATGCACCAAAACATTCATAAATGGAACAAATGAGAGTTTATGGTCCAAGAACATTCATAGAACGTAAACCCATCTTCCTAGACCATAAACTCTTCAAATGGGTGTTTAAGTGCCCTTATCACCTTGAATGGCTTGTATGTTGGACTAGAATCACATGTGATTGAATTACAAGCACCAAGGCCCTTGATTCATGGACAAACATGAGTTTACGGTTGTAAAATCATGATTTTAAGGTAGTAAACTCCCAAAGAACATCTCCTTAGACCTTAAACTCATTTACAAGGTCATTTCAAGTCCCGATCACTTCCTAAGCTATGGAATCGACCATAGAACTTCCTGTGTGCATTGTTTGACCATTTGGCATCCAATAACTTACCACCCATGAGTTTACGGCCGTAAACTCATGGGGAATGGTCATTATGGCCGTAAACCCTCTTGCAAGTTCACTCTTGAAGAGTAAACTACATATCTAAGCTTCATATGTCCTTAAATGCCAACCGGGTCCTTCCAAACACTTGTAATGGAGTGTTTCCATAACTAGAAGTGTTTGTCCCTAACTAATAGATAATTCAAGTCCTAATTAGATACAAATTTGAATCTTTTCATAATCCATAGGAACCTCGTGTGTTTGCAAACCTAGAACTGATGTATAGGAGCCAAGCAGACACATTCCTTGTCCGGTGAGTTCATACCCCTACGCTTTTTCCGTGTTTGTGAATGTTTTCAGGGGGTAATACAGGCAAACTATAACTGTTTTTGAGTTTATAACATTGATATGTTTCAAATAATATATGTTAAACTTATAAACACTTTAGCCCCTTATATATTATGCTGAGCATAAGGGATGGTTTATCAACTACAACTAAATGGATTTTAGTTAAGAAAATAATCAAACTAATCAAATTATTATGGGAATAATTTGGGGTTCTTTATTGTTCGTTTTATCATGTACTAATATGTATATAAAGTTATTAGATAAACTATGTCTGATTCAGTTTATCTCCGTATCATTTGAATGTATTGCCAGATAGTTTCATTGTATGTATCTATATTCACTGTATTGTGTTTCATAATCTTTTGTATGTTTGATATCGTATGAGAACCCTGTGAATAGTTTAGTACTAGTTTGTGAGTTAGTCACTACCCTTTATGGATGATCAGTAAATCCTCCCCGGAAGTGTAACCAGAGTCTCCTGGAGGGAGAGCGAGGAATTTGTGAATAGATCTATTCGGGATTGACAATCCCACATCTTAACTGCTAGCTACAGTTAGGCGGGCACGCCTGGGGTGACAAATTTTGGATATCGTACGACATCTAACAAGCATCAAGGAGGTCTCGTTGTCGTATCAGCATGGTTACCCGACTCACAACACGTATTAATATAAGTTTATTCACGACTTGGTTTTGGATTTGATTTTATATCAATCTTCTATCTTTAGATCTTATATCTAGTTCGGGACGGTAATCCCATGGATTTTAGTCTATAGGGTTCATATCTATTTCAGGATGTTATTCCTATGGTTAGAATCTATATCTAGTTCGGGATAGTGATCCCATGATATTATCAAACAATCTTATATCTAGTTCGGGACGGTAATCCCATGGTTTTTAGTCTATAGGGTTCATATCTATTTTAGGATGTTATTCCTATGCTTAGAATCTATATCTAGTTCAGGATAGTGATCCCATGATTTTATCAAACAATCTTATATCTAGTTCGGGATAGTGATCCCATGATTTTATCAAACTATCTTATATCTATTTCGGGATAGTAATCCCATGGTTTTTTTTCAAACTATTTTGTATCTAGTCCGGGATAGTAGTCCCATGGGTTTCATTCTATATTTTCAAGTATATCAAACTATCTTGTATCTAGTTCGGGATATTAGTCCCAAGGTTTTCAAACTACTTTCTATCTACAGTTCGTGTATATTAAAGTATTTTATATCTAATTCAGGATAGTAATCCCATGATTCTCAATATATAGTTTTGTGTATTAAACTATACTCTGTGTTATTCAATCAATCTTGCATTTAGGAAAATATGGGATTTTCCTGGGGTTAACATATAACGCGTAATTGAACTGTAATGAAGGATAACTAAACTGTTTAACATAAGAAAATATGGGATTTTCTTGGATAACAAACCTTTTTGGAAAACTAAAGGACACTGGTACATTTTCAGAAAACAAACATCTTATGAACTCACCAGCTTTATGCTGATTTTCAAACCGCTTGTATTCTCAGGTCCAAATTAGACAGGTACCTGGCGATATCTTTTGGTGAAGACAGAGAGCTCAGAAGACTCGTCTCAACTTTTGTTCATATGATATATGTATAACACTTGTACAATTTACCTTTGAAACAAATGTAAACTTTCAAATATATGTAATGTAATGGTTGTTTACTGTGATTACTATGTACATTGGATTTGATACTCAACGTGGAGTCAACCCCGGAAATGTTTCCGCCTTTGGTTTTCGGGGTGTGACAGATTGGTATCAGAGCCCTTGTTTATAGTGAACGGAGTATACCAAACCTTACATGGTATAAAACTATAAACATTAAAGGGCCTAAGTGTTCTGAACTAAAAGTATATTCAAACTATAAGTATTTTTAAAAGTATACAAGTATACCGAACCGTCGAGATCCGTAACTACAAGTAGAACAAAACATAAGTAAATGGGTGTTGTACGCTGCGGTTAAACCTGGGCAGTTATGTAGTCGTGTCTAGGATCAATATAGCCTGGCCAACTATATTCATTCGAGACACGGCCAACATGTGCTTGGGAGTGACTGTGGTATGCATCATACCTAAAACTTACCCAATACCCAAAACAACGAGTCATCATTGCAGTGAATCATGAAATACTATGGGAGTATTTCTCAATTCAATCCTTTGTAGAAAATCCTCATATACGCGTTGTTCCTTGATCATTCCTCTAGCGATAAAAATTATCTGCCTTGATAACTCTTTCCCGTTTTATCGCTTAATATGATGTTATATCTGTCTTGATCAG